TCAGAACTGACTTTTGTTGGCAACTAGTTATGGTTTAAGTTGTTTTGAAAGCTTATTCTAAAATTGAAGGCGCTCTGGTAATGCACTGGTTAAAGCGCTCGGCTGTGAACCGTAAGCTTGGAAATCAAACCCACCACGTGCTGTGCAGGAGAAAGATGAGGCAGTCTTCTTCTGTAAAGGTTTCCAGCCTTGGAAACCTTGCAGGGCAGTGCTGCCCTGTCCCATGGGGTTGCTGTGAGTTGAATCAACTTGATAGCAGTGGATTGTTTTTCTAAAAGTTGACGTCAGAGACTTTCTGAAGAAAATAAACTGTAAGAAGTCTTCTGGGGTGAGTTCCATTCCACGCCATGTTTCCTGTTACCTGTATTTACCTGAACCGGATGGTAAACTTACTCATCCACAGTACTGGTCCTGAGTTACCAAGGAAAGACTCAAGTTTATCCCCTATTTAATCCAAAAATAATAGAATTTGTGGAAGAAAAGACTTGATAATCTTCAAAGGAAAAATAGCATGATTAAATGATGTTTCAGAATTTGGCTAAATTTGATCCTTTAAAAATTAATTAATTCTGAGCAGTTAGAGTTCCTCCCTTTTGCTTTGTCTTACGTTGCTTGATGCCAGAAGATCATTAAACAGGACTTGGGGAAACTGGCTTCAATATGTCGGCATACAGTCCCTTGGAAACCCGTTGTTTTTCTGCCCTGCCCTCCGGCCCCTGGAGCAGGGAGGGCACAGAGGGGAATGTGCATTCAATTTCTGTGTATCATCACTTTCGTATTAGTGGAGTAGTTAGTGGTTAATCATCATGGAAATACCATATGCTTGGTTTACATTGGTCTTGGATTTCGTGGTCAATCTCATGAATTTAAACTGTTAATTCTGAGAACAAAATGTGACAGTGCTGTAAAGTGCCCTGCAGGGCCTGCCACGCGTCAGGTGCTTGGCGGTTGGCAGAACTGTAAGTGCCTCACATGGTTGGACTTGTTGAATCCTTAGCACGATGCTGTGACGTAGCAGTGTGATCACCCCTATCTTATTTATGGGGAAAGTAAGTAACGGGGTTAAGGAACTTGGCCGTGGTGTTACGCAGCTGGTAAGTGGCAGAACTTGGACTTGTCCCGTGTCTTGTCTTAACCATTAGTGCTGTCTGCCCTGTTGCTGTATCGGTAGCTGGTGGGTCTCAGTCACTGCCCTTTGACGAGTTCCTGGTGGAGGTATCAGGTAGGTCAGCAAACACTGGCAATACGAATTTGATGGAGGAAGACGGAATGAAGCAAAAGGTGATAGCTGTTCCTTTTTAAAAAAAAAAAAAGACCATAGGTCTCAGCCAAAGGCAAGTTGTCCTATGGAGGACATTGTTGTTGTTGTTGTTGTTTTGTGCCATCGAGTAGGCCCCAACTCATAGCGACCCCTCCTTGGGTTTCCGAGGCAGTATCACTACGGAAGTAGGATTGCCCAACCTTCCTTCCGAGGAGTGGCT